AAATTCGGGTCCCCTTTAGGGTCCTCTTTGTTCGGCTGCCGTCTAACCCTAAACCCTAAACCCTAAACCCTAAACCCTAAGCCCTAAACCCTAAACCCTAAACCCTAAACCCTAAACCCTAGTTTTTGGGGGGACCTACAAGGGGACCCTAGTTTAGAGAACTAGGTACCCAATGAACTACAGATCCGGTACCCCACCCCCCCGAACCAAAGAGCTGGGTATGTTAGGGCTCTGGGTTTAGGGTTTAGGGTTTAGGGTTTAGGGTTTAGGGTTTAGGGTTTAGGGTTTAGGGTTTAGAGGTTAGGAGTTTAGGAGTTTGGGTTCAGGGCTCCGGGTTTAGAGTTCGCAAAGGGAGGGAGACTCCCACGGATTGGTGGACTGGGTAAGGATGATGGCGGAATCCAAATCCCACTGTGTAGAGTTCAGGGATTAGGGTTGAGGGCTCAGGCTTCAGAGTCTAGGACCAGCCCCTGAGACCCGATGTATAGAACCCTTTAAGAGCACTTCTAGAATTGGTAGTTTTCTAAGTTAGGGTCCCTTTTCGGGTCCCTTTTATAAGGGTGCCGTACTATATTGGGGACCTAGGAAGGGACCCTAATTTAGAGAACTGCCCATTTATGGAAGGGCGGAGACGGCAAGAACCTGCAAAAAAGTAAGCACCTGCCGCCGCAGGTAAACCAGAACTCTGCAAGATCTCTAAAACACCAACCTGTCTGGTGCTTAGTAGGGAATGGGGGAATGGGTTATAGGGACTACTATAAGGGACCTTAAGGGACCTAAACCCTAAACCCTAAACCCTAAACCCTAAACCCTAAACCCTAAACCCTAAACCCTAAACCCTAAACCCTAAACCCTATCATAGGGATCCATTCCCCCATTCCCTACTAAGCACCAAACACCAAAGGAGCCCCAGGCCCCAGACCCTGGGCTGAGGATAAAAACCCTAAACCCATACGAGTACGGCTGATTAGGGTTTAGGGTTTAGGGTTTAGGGTTTAGGGTTTAGGGTTTAGGGTTATAGAAGTCCTGCGTTACCTTATTAAGGATCCTAAACTACAGGAAAGATGGTATTTTCCTCATTATGGGTAATGCAGAATTTATATCCTGAACCCTAAACCCGAAACCCTAAAACCCTAACTCCTAAACCCTAAACGCCCTAAACCCTAAGCATAATTATTATGGGAAATCCAGAATTTAGATCATCAAGTGTAAGGTCTCTAATTCTGACGAGGCTCTGACGCTGTCGATTGCAGCAATGCGACTTCCGCCAGGACTGTTGTAGCTTGAACCAGGCTCACGACCAAAAAGCAGATCATGAAGAGTATCCTTGCCAAGAGGGTTTTGGGTTTAGGGTTTGGGGACATATACTACTACTATGGAATTAGGTCCCCTAAAACATCCTAAAACCATCGTAAGGATGGTCTTTTGAGACCTAGTTCCAGGAAATCCAAACCCTAAACCCTAAACCCTTAACCCTAAACCCTGAAACCCATAATGGTAGTGTACATGGAGCCTCTGGGGTTAAGAACTTCCTCTGATGGTTCTTTTAAGAATTCAAGGCTTGGTTAACCCTAAACCCTAAACCCTAAACCCTATAAACCCTAAACCCTCAACCTTAAACCCTAAAACCTAAACCCTAGAGCCCTAAACCCTAAAACCCTAAAGCCCTAAACCCCAAACCCTAAACGTTTAGGGTTGAAGGCCTTTCTTCTGCAACAGCCAGGCACCCAAAAGCTTAGTGTCGGTACGGAGTTCCAAATCTACCCTTGGACGGCTTAGGCCTTTCCCTGAAAGCTCAAAGCCCTAAACCCTAAACCCTAAACCCCTTATCGAGGTCAAACATGAATAACCCGAAACATCAAACCTACGAAACCTTACATCAAGCAGGGGCTTTAATAATTACTACTAGGGTTTTGGGGTTCCTTATTATCACTATAGTATAATGGGCCCCAAAACCCTGCTCTAATTATTAAGGCCCCGATACTACTGCAAACAATTCCAACACGCAAGACAACCAGAAGTTAGGAGGCAATATTGAATCCCCAAAATTCAGACTATGTCATGTAACTAAGAACGCAACAGCACTTGATTTCAATATAGCGCCCCCTAAACCCTAAACCCCTACACCCCTACACCCTAAATCCCTAAACCCTAAACCCCTACACCCCTAAACCCTAAACCCCTACACCCCTAAACCCTGAATCCCTAAACCCTAAATCCCTAAACCCTAAATCCCTAAAACC